ATCTTAGCTGGATCCTAGGACTGCGCTCTTCTGGACAGAGATCTCCGATGTTGTTTGCCACACCTAGTGCTCCAATTACCATTGGGACCACTGTTACCTTCACCCTCAACATTTTCTCAAGCTCTTCTTTGAGCCCTTGGTATTTCTCTAGGTTCTCATGTTCCTTCTTCCTGATGCTGATGTTATTGGGAACTGCTACATCTATCACTACGGCCATCTTCTTCTGTTTGTCTACCGCCACTATGTCCGGTTGGTTAGCCATCACCATTTTGTCTCTCTGTGTCTACAAGCCCCACAGGATCTTAGCTCAGTCATTCTCCACCCCTCTTGGAGGTGTCTCCCATTTTGATCTCATGACTTCCAGGCCATATTTAGCACAGATGTTTCTGTATACTATGCCGGCCACTTGGTTGTGGAGTTCCATGTATGCCCTGCCAGCTAGCATCTTACACCCTGCTGTTATGTGCTGAATTGTCTGGGGCTTCTTTACACAGCCTGCACCTGGGGTTTTGCCTGGTGTGGTAGAGCCTCAGGGTGCTGGACTTGGGGTGAACCCTCCATGCATTGTCAGGAGCTTCCTTGTCTTGATGTCAGTGGCTTCTATCTCCTCCTTTGGCCAGCTTATTATTCCAGCAGGGTACCTGATCACGAGCAGTGCGTAGATGTTGATAGCCTCAGTCAGCTGAGACTGCAAGACCAGGTTGACCAATCTGTGCACTGCCTGTATTGATTACAAGAAGGCCTATGACTCAATGCCTCACACCTGGATCCTGGAATGCCTAGACCTATACAAGACCAACAGGGCCCTAAGAGCCTTCATCAGGAAGTCAATGGGGATGTGGTGGAGAACATTAAGCCCATAGCACAAGTCACCATCAAGTGCGGGATCTTCCAAGGAGATGCTCTGTCCCCACTGCTGTTCTGCATAGGCCTGAACACCAGTGAGATAATTGACAAGACTGTCTACGGATACCAACTACAGAATAAGACAAAATAAGATAAGATAAGATGTCTGAAGGTTCTCAGTCATCCAGGTCATCGTAGTCAAAGGAGCTTGCAAAGAAAAGCGTCTGGACTTCTTTAAGTTGCTTGAAGACGTTTTACCTCTCATCCGAGAAGCTTCTTCAGTTCAAAGGTCAAATGGTGGAGAGTCCCAGATATAAACCTAGTGGGAGTATCCCCCCACAGAGGGACAAAAGGACCCCCTGATGATGCTCTAATCGCCTGAGCCAAGGTGTGAAATTGGGTGTGGGTCCCAATCAGCCAGGGTTTTGGGTGTGCTCATTGTAAAACCTGGCCCCACCTTATCATGCAAATTCATGAGGTCAGATGGCCCAGGATGTGAGTGGGTGTTAAGGCGTCTGGGGAGGGAACTCAAAACTGGATTATAGATGGCAGACAGTTGGTGTCGTAAACCACCGCCTCTGTTCAAAGATGGTCGCTCACAGTGGCATCCTCGAAAGAGTGACCTTTGTCCTTAAGATGCAGATGGACTGCTTCACAGACTTAACAATATCGTGTATGCTGTACAGTGCAGCGAGGAATGCCCAGACCTCTACATTGGAGAGACCAAACAGCCACTTCACAAGCGCATGGCACAACATGGCTCAGGCGATTAGAGGATCATCAGGGGGTCCTTTTGTCCCTCTGCGGGGGGATACTCCCACTAGGTTTAAATCTGGGACTCTCCATCATTTGACCTTTGAACTGAAGAAGCTTCTCTGATGAGAGGTGAAACGTCTTCAAGCAGCTTAAAGAAGTCCAGACACTTTTCTTTGCAAGCTCCTTTGACTAAGATAAGATAACCTTTATTAGTCCCACACATGGGAAATTTGTTTTGTCACAGCAGAAAATGGACAGTGCAAAAGTTATATAGCAAAAATTAGAATACAATACAAATAATATACTGTACACAACTGTACAGAATAGAATAAAATACTATATACAGTAGAATAAAATATGCAATAGGATAAAAATAGAATACAAATGCTATATATAACTGAGTAAAAATACAACTTTGTCAGAAAAGAGTATTGCACTTAGTCTTATTGCACATGTGTGGATGTGTGTGTTTGATCAGCTGCAAAAGTCTTTGTTGTGGAGTCTGACAGCAGTGGGGAGGAAAGACCTGCAAAATCTCTCCGTCCCATATCGTGGGTGCTCCCACTGAAGGAGCTGCTCAGTGCTGTCAGAGTCTCCTGGATGGGGTGGGATATGTTTTCCAACAGGAATGAAAACTTAGCCACCATTCTCCTGTCACTCACCACCTCCACTGGGTCCAGAGGGCATCCTAGAACAGAGCTGGCCCTGTGCATCAGCCTGTTCAGTCTCTTCCTGTCCCCGGCAGAGATGTTGCCGCTCCAGCAGACCATACCATAAAAGATGGCTGAGGCCACCACAGAGTCATAGAAGGTCTTCAGGAGTGGGCCCTTCACTCCAAAAGACCTGAGTCTCCGCAGCAGGTACAGCCTGCTCTGCCCTTTCCTGTAGAGGGCGTCTGAATTATGAGTCCAGTCCAGTTTGTTGATCAGATGAACACCAAGGTACCTGGAGCTGTCTACAGCCTCAATGTTCATACCTTGGATGTTCAGTGGTTGCAGTGGAGGATGCTTGTGCCTGCGGAAGTCTACCACCAGCTCCTTGGTTTTACTAGTGTTGATCTGGAGGTAGTTCAGCTGGCACCAGTCCACAAAATCCTGGTTCAGTCCTCTGTACTCCTTGTCGTCCCCATCAGTGATGAGGCCGACTATTGCAGAGTCATCAGAGAACTTCTGCAGGAAGCACTGGATGGAGTTGTGGGAGAAGTCTGCATTGTAGATGGTGAAGAGGAATGGGGCCAGAACCGTTCCCCGTGGGGCCCCCGTACTGCAGACAACCCCGTCTGACACACAGCCCTGAGTTATTACATACTGTGGTCGGTTGGTGAGGTAGTCCAAAATCCAGGTAGTATGGTGATGGTCCACTCCTGAGTTCTCCAGCTTGTCCTTCAGGACTGTGGGAAGAATGGTGTTGAATGGAGCAGTTGTCATCCAATTACATAAAATTTAGTATAACTAACTGTGACCACTGTTGCTTTCACGATATTACTTGGATATTAACCGGTTATTATTTTGGTAATTGAGTGGCAATAATTTTATTACATACTTGTTTCTACCTTGTCACCCTTACCTAGAACTTTATTACTAAGCTGTATAAGAAAGTGCAACCAATAACGCTACTGAATTAGGGTAGACTGTGGGACTCCTGTGTCAGCTGTTGGTTACTGATAGAGCCAGCAGAATGCAGCTTTGACAATCATCTTTGCAAAAACACATATTCCATATTCCAGTCTACATGGTGACATGGTGATGTCATGAAAACTGTCAGACAGTGAGGTAAAAGCAATTTTCCATGCACAAAGAGTGCACAGTTGGGATAAGATGTTGTTGACTTTAACTGAGGATAAAACTGCATGGTACCGACTACAGAATGGAGCAGTTGTCAGCCATCTCCTGTACATGGATGACATCAAGCTGTATGCTAAGAGTAAACGAGACATCGATTCACTGAACCATACCACCAGGATATACAGCAATGATATCGGAATGTCATTCAAACTGGAGAAATGTAGTCGGATGATAACACAGAGAGGGAAGGTAGTAAAAACTGAGGGGATCAAACTACCAGAAAGCAACATTGCAGACATTGGGGACAGCTACAAGTACCTGGGGGAAGAGGCGCTAGAAAAGCTGCAACCACCAAGTACCTGCAGAGGGCAAGGCAAGTCATGAGAAGTCAGCTGAATGGTAAGAACAAGATCTGGGCAATCGACAACTATGCCCTGCCCGTCAGGTACCCTGTTGGAATAATAAGCTGGCCAAAGGAGGAGATAGAAGCCACTGACATCAAGACAAGGAAGCCCCTGACCATGCATGGCAGGTTTCACCCCAAGTCCAGCACCCTGAGGCTGTACGCTAAGCGGAAGGAAGGAGGCCAGGGACTAGTGAGTGTCAGCACCATAGTCCAGGATGAGACAACAAACATCCACGAATACATCACGAAGAGCTTGTGCTCAGTGAATACCTCAGGCAGCAGAAACCCAAGAAAGGGGAGGAAGGCAAGGAACCATCATGGAAGGACAGACAACTGCACGGTCTGCACCACCGGCAGATAGTGGAGGTGGCTAATATCCAGAAATCCTACCAGTGGCCGGACAAAGCTAGACCGAAAGACAGCACGGAAGCACTAATCATGGCAGCACAGGAACAAGCACTAAGCACAAGATCCATTGAGGCTGGGGTCTATCACACCAGGCAAGACCCCAGGTGCAGGCTGTGTAAAGATGCTCCAGAGACAATCCAGCACACAACAGCAGGGTGTAAGATGCTAGCAGGCAAGGCATACATGGAACGCCATAACCAAGTGGCTGGCATAGAATACAGGAACATCTGTGCCAAGTATAACTTGGAAGTCATGAGATCAAAATGGGAGACGCCCGCACAGGGTGGAGAATGACCGAGCTAAGATCCTGTGGGACGTCCAGGACATGGACAAAATGGTGATGGCTAACCAACCGGACATAGTGGTGGTAGACAAACATAAGAAGACGGCTGTTGTGATAGATGTAGTGGTTCCAAATGACAGCAACATCAGAGAGAAGGAACACAAGAAGCTCGAGAAATAGTAAGGACTCAGAGAAGAGCTCGAGAAAATGTGGAGGGTGAAGGTAACACTGGTTCCGTTGGTAATCGGAGCAATAGGTGCAGTGACTCCCAAACTAGACGAGTGGCTCCAGCAGATCCCAGGGACAACATTGGAGATCTCTATAGAGTGCAGTCCTAGGAACAGCTAAGGTACTGCGCAGGACCCTCAAGCTCCCAGAGGACCCAAGCTTGAAGGATAGACCGCCCGCAGAAGCGGGGATATATATACACCCTCCACCTTATTTTTTTTCAGTAATTATATTTGAGATGTCTGGAATCCAGCAGTCTGATTTTTGTGTTTATTTGTCTTTTCTCAAGGCGCTCCAGTTTAGTTATCACCACCAAAATCTTCTGGGGTGGAAAGTAAGTATTCATTGTCTTTTCTAAAAGTATGCATGTTTTCTCTCTCAGGGTGCCCACTCATCTCACTTTCTATGATGATGATGATTAATTATAAGATAATGGTGCTGACAGATAGATACAACTATCTAGACCTTGAAGGCAATTATCAGAATCAAAATCAAAATCCTTAATAATCCCTAAGGAAATGGTGTGGTTACAATTGCTCCAAGACAACAAGAACAGCAACAGACTGAAATAACTTAATTGATACAACATGTAACAAAGTTCCAAGTATGAGAAATAGCTCTAATATGTGCAAGTAGCTTGATTATAAATTTCCAGAATATTACAGCAACTACATATATATGATTGACATTTTAAGATAAGATAAGATAAGATAAGAAAAGATAAGATAAGATAAGATAATAATAAGATAATAAACAAGATAATCTTCTTGTTGAGAACCGGTTCCCACTGTTTCAATTCCTTGGAATTGTTTGCCAGTTTTGCAAACGATTCCCTTATTGATTCCAGTCGCCCCGAATGACGTCACCACATTGCGGAGTGTCATTTACCTGGCAGGAAACACGGCGCCTAAGCGGCTCAAACGCTCAAAAGTTTGGTTATACTTTACGACAGGGGTGTCAAACTCAAATACACAGTGGGCCAAAATTCAAAACTGGAACAAAGTCGCGGGCTAACATTAATATTTATTGAAATATATTTATTCCTCCAGATATAAGAATGAATCATATCTTATGGACTCAAACACGTTTTGCTGAAAAACTGAATATGGAACAAGCAAAGCTTAATACTAAACCTAAACAATATATATATTAGCTGTATAATACCAGTAGGCCAGCTCTGATAGTAATTTGGTATGGCTTCGCGAGCCAAATGTAAGTAGGCTGCGGGCCAAATTTGGCCCACGGGCCAGAGTTTGACACCTATGCTTTACGAGAACGGATGACAACAGGGCAACTTGCAGTACTTGAAAAGTAGAGATTTCATTTAAGGGAGGAAACACTACGAATATGCAAAAGCATTTGCTCACAAAACACGCAATAACCTTAAATGAATGTCGTGTTTTTAATTCCGCTCTGGACTCGTGAATCTCAACCCAGCAGCAGCGGAAACGTTTGCACGTCCTCTCCCGTTAATGCGGCAGGTAAATAATCAACTAACAGTGCATATTATGTTAGCGCGATCTGCCTTATTACAAAACCTGCCATTACTGTGCGCTGCATTTAGGTGACCATGATGAGAGAGACAGACAGAGTCTGGCTGGCTCAGATGCTGGCAGTTCTCGCTGCAGTCTACCGGTAGCGTCTCCTTTCAGGCCAGGATAGACGAATGTCACCGATCAGTGACTAAGTTTGTGGTCAAAGGCTTGCACCCATTTGCCACAGCAGATGCCCTGGACCTTGGATGTTCAGTGGTTGCAGTGGAGGATGTTTGTGCCTGTGGAAGTCTACCACCAGCTCCTTGGTTTTACTAGTGTTTATCTGGAGGTAGTTCAGCTGGCACCAGTCCACAAAGCCTTGTGTCAGTTCTCTGTACTCCTTGTCGTCCCCATCAGTGATGAGGCTGACTATTGCAGAGTAATCAGAGAACTTCTGCAGGAAGCACTGGGTGGAGTTGTGGGAGAAGTCTGCAGTGTAGATGGTGAAGAGAAACGAGCCAGAACTGTTCTCTGTGGGGCCCCCGTGCTGCAGACGACCCTGTCCGACACACAGCCCTGAGTTATCACATATTGTGGTCGGTCGGTGAGGGAGTCCAGAATCCATGTAGTGAGGTGATTGTCCACTCCTGAGTAGGGATGGGTATCGTTTAGGTTTTATCCGATACCAGTACCAAACTTTTGAAATGGTGCTGGTGCTTAAACGGTGCTCGAACCGGTGCTTAAAGAATGGAAGACACAAACTTGTCCTAAAACCTCTCATATTTAGCTGTTTTTTTGTAAACAGATAACAATGTTAGCCTTTTCTGCAGCTATAGGGGATTTATGGTATCACTCTTGGCTGGAAGCAGTGCTTAATCAATGGAAAAAAACACAAACTTTGTCCAAAAACCTCTCATGTTTAGCTGTTTTCCACTGTTTTCTTTGGTCATTTTAGCCTTTTTGGCCAGGGCGAAGGGAGTATCTGCCATCAAACAAGAAGATAACCGCATGTAACTATGACGTGTTTGCTAGTTCACCTTACATGCATTAATTTAATAACGTGGTTAGCCTACTCAGCGTAAATTACACACGAACAACATTAAGAACGGCTGCTGGCCATCATCATCCGTCATCATTTCTGCTACACTGGCAGGGCTAGGGGCCAGGACTCTCCTCTTCGGGTTTTCGGGGGATGTTGCTAACTCCGGGTCAGATACCAGGCACCACACCCGCAGTAGACATGCTCGGTGTGAGGTCTCGCAGCAAGCTATCAAATACAGTGCATTTCTCGGCTTTTAAAAAACACTATGCGTCGCCAGGTGTTTCATCAGATTTGAGGTGTTCCCTCCTTTGCACAGTATCACCTTAAAGCACTTGTTGCAGGCTGCTGAGTTTGCATCTTTTACTGTGAAGTACAGCCAGACTTTGACCACTTCGCCTTGGGCATTTTTAATCTGTAGCTCTGCTCTAAAAGAAAGTACGTACCTGGGCCCGCCTACTACGCTTGCAAAGGTAAAATGATTGGCTAGAATCCAAAGTGTATGACATCTCAGGGAAAAAAAAGCACCGAAATGTGCGTTGCTTTTCGGTCTGGTTACCACCGTTTATGTCAGAACCGGTGCCATCGTGGCACCGGATAACAGTACCCATCCCTTCTCCTGAGTTCTCCAGCTTGTCCTTCAGGACCGTGGGAAGAATGGTGTTGAAGGCACTGGAGAAATCAAAGAACATGATTCTCACAGTGCTCCCAGCAATGTCCAGGTGAGAGAGGGAACGATGTAGGAGGTGGATGATGGCATCATCCGCTCCAATGCCAGGTTGGTAGGCAAACTGAAGTGGGTCCAGTGATGAGCTCACCAGGTGCCGAAGCTGAGCCAGGACCAGCTGCTCCAGGGTCTTCATCATTCGTTTTACTCTAAACTGTAAAACTTTATTTGTTATTTTCACAGTAAATGCAACTATTACACTGTGTACGGTGCATCAGATAAAATTGTAGCAGGAATGACTTCCTGTGTTGTTCAGTTGTGCATTTGCCTAATCTCAGTCTCTCACTGAACATGCTCCAATGACTGGCTAATAGTTATTGAGTGGGTGGAAGGTATTGTCCAACATTGTCTTTATCTTGGACAACATCTGCCTCTCCGACACCACACAGTAATGGAGGCTGGAGTCCAGTTCTATCTCCACAAGATTTGTAGCTAAACGGATCAGTTTATGGAGTCTGTTGATATCTGCAAACTTTAACCAGCTACCCCAGCATGCAACAGCATGGTAAAAAGGCAAATACTTTTCCAAGGCTATCTAATCTATCTGTAGTGTTGTTAAAAAGTACTATTTTAAATTTTAAATTTAATTTATTATGTTTTTTTTTCAGAGCAGAAATGGAGAGAGGATTATCTAGAAAACATATACTTGAAGGTAAGATTATTAGCTACAACTGTGAATTTGAAATCTTTTCCCCCAGTATGCAAACATTGATCGTTTGCATACTGGGGACCAGTGTTGGTCAAGTTACTTGAAAAAAGTAATCAGTAACTAATTACTGATTACTTCCCCAAAAAAGTAATCCCATTACTTTACT